TATATATATATATATATATATATATATATATATATATATATATATATATTTTTATATTTTGTTTAAAGCTGGTATATCGTTCACTTTTTTTCTTATTTTTCCAACACCTTTGTCTCCATCTTCTTCTCTTTTTTTCCCCCTACTGCCCAACACTTATTTTCATTAATGAAATGGGGGGGTGGGGGGAAGAGGAGGGAAGAGGCTGGCTGGAGGGCTGGGAGGGAAAAAAGGAGGAGGATGGGTGTGGATGAGAGGGACCAAAAACACTTAAAAGGAAACAAATATTCAAAAATTTTGAAACCAAAACTTTTTGATTTTTGTATAAATTTTTGCATACATCATTTTCTCTAATGTCTGTGGAGTGTTAAAGCTTTGTAACCGTTGTCTGTTGTTTGAGCTCTACTTCATATTAACATGAATACTCCCTTCTTTCCTATCCACACCCACTTTGTTCCTGTGCTGAGGTTCTTCCCTGGTAACTCTACAGCTGTCCAGTTTGTCCAGTGTAGATGCCTGCAGAATCAGCACTTAATGTACAGACCTGCTAAAGGAACCTATTTTATTATGTGAAGCTGTCTTAACAATGAAAGGTTTCAGAGTAGCAGCCGTGTTAGTCTGTTAGTCTGTATCTGTAGTCCTCCTGTTCTTCTTTTTGTCTTAACAATGAACTTAACATGACCCAGAATCTAGTCCAGTGACTTTTGGAAAGTCTTCCTGGTATCATTATAGACATTCAGTATATCCTCATTGTTCAACATTTCCGTACTTCTTTACAACGGCAGAAATCAGTAAGTCCAACAATTAAATGTTGCAGGACAGAGAGAGCTGTCAAATGCAGAAGCCACAAAAGAATAAGATGTCACTACAATACTCGTATTTTGACTGTCCATTCAAATTAATACAAGCATGTGGTCTAAAACCTGTAATCCATAGTCGCCCATGAATGTCGTGTAACGACTCAGATCCATTCATGCCATATCAAGTCACTGTGGGACTTTAGTTATTAACTCTAAAAAATACAATTGACCTGTGGGGCCTCACTGTGATCTAGCCTATAGGATGCGGACAGAAAATTCTGTAAGACAAAGCTTACAGAGTTTAATTTACTTGTTTCCATCAGAGGCGCTAGCTTTTGGGGGCTGCAAAGGAAGCAGAAGGCTTGGGCCTTAAAATATAGGGAACTCTTCTCCCCACCCCTTGATCCTGGAGCCTCCATGCGCATTAGGGTGAAGCAACCTTGTTCTCAAATGCTCCCCGCCCCCCCCCGCCACCATTTGGCAGTTACTTCAGAAGCCAAGCTACCATGTGGTGCTTTCCCCTGTGGCTAACTGGCAAAGGCCGTGGAGAAGGGGGGGGGGCGGCATGCTGCTTTTAAATGTGTTTGGGTGTAGTGGGGGAACATGCCACAAGTTTCCATTGCTTCCTGGACCCACTGTTCCCACCCAGAATTTTCACAAGTCCTTGACTCCAGGGAGCATCTGTTGAGGTTCTGTGATGACCCAAGCAGCAGTTGAGCATGTTCAGAACTTGTGTGTGTGTGTGTGTGTGTGTGTGTGTGTGTGTGTGAGCGAGCTGGTATATCACTTCTAATTTACCTGTCCTGAAGAAAATGGAGGGTAGGACAGGAGGCTGTGTGTACAATAACTGCTAATACCCCAGAATTAATTGTATGCCAACAAAAGGAATAACAGTTCCAAGCTGGGGGTGGAAACTGCAACACACTTGAGCCCATCTCCTATAGCTAGGTGATTAAAATACGTTATAATTGGCTCTGTGGATAAATTTTAATAATGAATACAACTAGAATGTGTCTTCTGGCACCATCCTATGCAGCTGCCTTGCAGTGAAACCACACAGCTAACATCTCTCATAAAACAATAAATAGCTAGAAAGGCTGAAACCCTTCTCAAGGCTCTACCAAAGGCTTTTTCAAAATCTCGATGCCCTAATTAACAGTGACACAATTCTCAAGCCCATCTGAGGTTGGAAGGCTGGGTGTTCTGAAGCAAAACTCAATGTTGTCATCTAAAACCTCATGATAATTCATGCTTTCCTTTAAGCTCCAACTCCTGGAGTCATGCTGACAATGTGAGAATCTCTACTTGCTACTTTTTTAAAAGAAAGTTTCTAGCTCTCTAGTTGCAGAGAAAAACAGGGAACTGTGACCCCCACCCCCACTGTACCCGAAAGACAGAAATCATGAAGAAAATAAAAATTCCAGTGTTTTTCTTATTTTTAAAAGTCTCAAGATGTTTTGGAAGAATGATTAATAATTTTTGACCAACTTGGGTTGGGGATAACATGTTGTTTCCCTACAAGCCTCCCAGGTGTAGAAAGGCTGTTTCTTCTGACTGAAAAGAAATGCAATATGAATAACAGAAATGCAATGCCTATATGCCACCTGAAATTGTAATACCTTCTCTTGACTGTCATATCACACTGAAATTGCATGTCCTGATTCTAACTTAAGTTGAACTATCACCAGTTGAGAGAACCCCTGTGGCACAGCTGTCAGAGTTCAGCCCATTTGTGGGCTATCATAGGGTTAACTCAAACTCTGCCAAAATTTCTCTTATCCCAAGAATTAACTACAAACCCTAATTTTCTGATCCCAGGATGTTTGTTCTTGTTTCCAGAGGAAATAGGTATTGTTCAACATAGTCCTATGCCAGTGGTTTTGTTCCTCCTCTTCACATTTATTCATTATCTCTCTGTGTGCATAATCCTCCAAACGTTTTCCATCTCTATTATACAATAAATAAAGGAATGGCTGCTCTAGTTCCATTTCTTCAGCATATTCTGAAAAAAAGGTGCTCAAAAGCATGTCTGCATATAAATGAATTGGCCTGATGTTATGTGTCTCTCTTAAAAAGGTATTGTTATGAATAATCTGAAAATAACCCGGAGAAATAAATTTACCTCTTTCCTATTGGTCTTGCAGTAGGCTAGGGTGCTGGCTGGAATCAGAGGAAAGTATTTTGGATATTTTCCCTATGACAAATGATTTACTTGAATAGTTGACTTGCATAGGTAATCTATTTTTCCATACATAAAATGTTGTGTTGCTGTAGAATGGTGGAAGAAAATATTGTGTTAAAAGTTTAATTGGACATCAGTAGCAGAGACGCAGCATGTTGTCTGCTTATATAGTTGCAGTGAATTTCTACACTACACATATTGCTCATTCACTATTGGTGGATCACGTGATATGTTAACGGAACCTAAGCAGCTGGTAAAGCAGTTACTAAATGAAGAAGTATATGTATGTTACAGCAATCGTATGTAGAGACCCTTGCGTTATCCGCTGCAATGACCTCCTTTCTTAACTTCCCACTACAACTGTTGTGACTTAAACATTAAAAAAATGCAGTAAAAACTGCTCCTTTTCCCTTTCTTTCCTGACCCCACCTCACTTCATCAGGTCCTGATGAACATGTCTGGTGAGCTGTACAAATACTCTTGAGGAAGGCAGGTTACCATACGTGCCATTTGTTTTGGCAAGTGGAATTGGATTTATGCTGTCTCGCATACAAATAATTTCATCGATTACATGAAAGCTAATGTTAGGGTTTAGCAACAATTGACTATCTTGTATAATTCAACAGTCATCCACTATAAACATCCTCCTCCAATATTTTAGTACAAATCACTAAGTATTGCTTAATATGTATGCATCAGCTTTATTATTATTTGGGTAGAACGCCAGAATGACTTTTTTTCCGTTTTGCAGATAAAAATCACTTTCCTAATTTCATACTTAATGGCCAGTAGCATATTTTTGATGCACATTCCATTTATAATGAGAGCAAATAGGCTTGTTCCATGATATGCATTATGCAAATGAAAGGTGAAGAATTCTTTTTTCCCCCCAAACAACCTATTATGACAGTCAAGTATAAATCATTCCATTAGCTTTCTAGCATTGCAGCTCTGGGCAGCTGCACCCGTGTAATTTGCCATCTTGTACAGTACCATAATATATGAAATGTTTCCTTTTTTAAAGGCAGTAATGTCTGCCAAATTAAACAACAGAACATGCTAAATCACATTAAAACAGGCAATTCACATATCAGATTGCAGCACGAGGGGTCTTGTGCTGAAGAGTTTAGCTGCCTGTTATACATTTTACATGAAGAAATATGCATGCTGTACATTAAAGGAAAATACTTACTTGAGAAGGATTGTGCAGCTTCTGTTCTGCTAGTCCACAGACTGAAATGATGAAGCCAGATTTAGAAGTAGCTTATTAGGTGCATGCTGCTTCAACAGTTGCAGGTTTTTTTTTTGTTTTTTTTTAAACTGAAAGACAGGATCGCTTTCTTTTAAGGAAACCAGCTGAGAATGAATTCCTGTCCATGCTGCTGTGAGTGCTGCAGAGCCAAATCAAGAATCTCCAAAGAACTTAAGTCATTCACAATTTACTGGCTGGGGTTTTCCTATGTTGTCACAAACTTTAATGGCATCAAGCGGGGTCACAGCATACCGCCAATGAAGGAAATCACTAGTTAATCACATACAAGTGAGGCTGACACTGAGTCAATGCTATATATGACTTTAATTGGATAAAGTTTAATCTTTCAGTCCTTACATAGTCGAAATGCCCATTGACTAAGTTTTGAGATCCTGGTTCTTAGTGGAACTGGTTCTGGCTGGGCACTTTGATACTTATCCAGGTCAGACCTTGAGCAAACAATACAGGAACTGCCCTATCAAGATTATATTGCTGTGTACAGCATATGGAGCACAATTAAGAAACACCGCATCCTGCTGCGTCTTTTGATCTTCAGGGGTGAAATTTTTCCATGGCCTCAATCCAGCCTCTGTTTGTACATGCATAAATCATTGGTACACACAACAGTTCATATGCAAACCCAACTGTGCTTCAATTGTGCCCACAACGTAACATTTGCCTGTGTAATTTTGTTACTGACACATAAGTGCACAAAAATGCACACCACGCTCCAGTGACTTGTGCTTCAGAGGGAGTGAAAGAACAGTGATTTATTGAGTGATTCATCCCCGTCATCCAGTTCCAGCTTCTAGCAGTCAGAGGTTTAGGGACACCCAGAGCATGGGGTTGCGTCCCTGACCATCTTGGCTAATAGCCATCGATGGAGTTATCCTCTCTAAACGTATCTAATTCTTTTGTTTGTTTTGAATCCAGTTTTAATTTTGGCCTTCACATCATCCTCTGACAATGAGTTCCACAGGTTGACTCTGTGATGTGTGAAGGAGTACTTCCCTATGTTTGTTTTTAATTTCACTGGGTGATCCCTGGTTTTTGCGTCATGTGAATGGCTAAATAACACTTCTCTACACCATTCATGATTTTATAGACTTCTATCATATCCCCACTCAGTTGTCTCTTTTTTCTAATCTGAATAGTCCTGTTTTTTTAAATCTCTTCTTGTATAGAAGTGGTTCCACGCCCCTAACCATTTTGTTGCCTTTCTCTGTACCTTTTCCAATTCTAGTATATCTTTTCTGAAACAAGGTGACCAGAACTGTACTATGGAAAGTACTCAAGGTATGGGCATACTGTACATTTATATAGTGGCATTATAATGTTTTCTGTCTGATTAGCTATCCCTTTTCTAACAATTCCTAACATTTTGTTAGCTTTTTTTCTTACTGCTGCTGCACATTGAGCAGGTGTTTTCAGAGAACTATCTGCAATGTCTCAAAGATCCCTTCTTTGAGTGGAAACAGCTAATTTAGGCCCCATCATTTTGTATATTTTCCAATGTGCATTACTTTGAACATATCAACAACTGGATTTCTTCTGCCATTTTCTTGTCCAGTCAGCCAGTTTAGAGAGACCCCTTTGAAACTCTTCACAGTCAGATTTGGACTTAACTATCTTGAGTAATTTTGTATCATCTGCAAACTTTTCTAACTCACTGTTTATCCCTTTTTCTACATCATTTATGAATATGTTGAACAGCACAGGTCCCAATACAGATCCTGGGGTGACTCTACTATTTACCCCCTCTCTATTGTGAGAACTGACCCTTTATTCCTACCCTTTGTTTTCTATCTTTTAACCTTTAGTGTGGGACCTTATGAAAGGCTTTCTGAAAGTCTAAGTACACTATATCCACTGGATCACCCTGGTCCACATGTTTGTTGACCCCTTCAAAGAATTCTAATAGATCACTGAGGCATGATTTCCCTTTACAAATGCTGTGTTGATTCTTCCCCAATATATTGTGTTCTTCTATGTGTCTGGTCATTCTGTTCTTGACTATAGTTTCAACCAATTTACCTGGTACTGAAGTTGGGCTTACCAGCCTGTAATTGCCAGGATTTCTGGAGCCTTTTAAAAAAAAAATCAGTGTGTACATTAGCTACCCTCCAGTCATCTGGTCCAGAAACTGATTTAAGTGATAGGTTACATACCACAGTTAGTAGCTCTGCAATTTCCTAATTGAGTTCCTTCAGAACTTGGGTGAATGCCATCTGTGCCTGGTGACTTATTACTGTTTTAATTTACCAACTTGTTCCAAAACCACCTCTATTGACACCTCAATCAGGGACAGTTCCTCAAATTTGTCACCTTAAAAACTGATCCGGTGTGGGGATCTCCCCCATATCCTCTGCAGTGAAGATCGATGCAAAGAATTCATTTAACTTGTCTGCAATGGTCTTGTCTTCCTTGAGTGCTCTTTTAGCATCTTCACCCCACTGATTTGTTTGCCAGGCTTCCTGCTTCTGATGTACTTTAAAAATTGCTATTAGCTTTTGTGTTTTTTGCTATCTGCTCTTCAAATTCTTTTTTGGCCTGCCTAATTATACTTGACTTGCTAGACTTTATTCTTCTTTCTATTTTCCTCACTAGGATTTGACTTCCAATATTTAAAGAGTGCCCTTCTTGTCTCTTACCACCTCTTTTACTCTCTTTAGCCATGGTAGCACTTTTTTCCCCTTTGGTAATCTTTTTTCACATTTGGAGTACACATTTAGATTCAGCCTCTATTATAGTGTTTTAAAATAGTGTCAATGCAGCTTGTAGGCATTTCACTTGTGTGACTGTTCCTTTTAATTTCCATTTAACTCCACAATATATCTGATTAAAGAAGCATCTCATGTAGATCTCCATTGGACCTGGGCTGGGGAGACCTCCCTGTAAAATGGCCTCAGTCGGTGGGCTGTGCCTCTCCATGCACAAACTCAGGAGCTGAGGTCAGAACTACTAAGCCCAAAGAATTGTTACTGAGGGCGTCTCATGAGAGTAAAGGGCACTTTCTCAAACTCAAGGACATATCTTCCAAACTGCTCAGAGATTAAAAGATCCCGCCCCGATTCCACCCAAGTTGGATGAGTCCTCATGTGTTGTCCCTAAGGGCTTAGGTCCTCTCAAACCTCCTGAACATGAAGGTATGGTGCAAATAAGTAAGGACCTGACAGGTCCTTTTCAGTTCCAACTCATAAGCCCAAGAATCGGCACTCGTTGATACCATCTAGGAGTTCCAGGTTAGACTATGCTCTGGATCAGTCTGCCCCCACAAGGATTCACCATCCACGATAACCAGGGATATGCCAGATCTGTTGGTCCCGACTACCTGGACACAATGAAACCTACACCTCTGGAAACTCTTTGCCCTACCTTACCCACAATCTCCTTTTCTTTTGGGTGTAACCCTACTTGGAAACATTGTGACACCAGAAGAAGAAACTAACCTGAGGAGACGGAAATGTTCCCCTGTCCCATCCTGCCGGATCATTCATTCATTGACTGAGACCGATAGTTCCAAAAGGGGTATCCTCCTCCTTGCTAGATGAGACAATTGCCCATCTTTGCTATCCCCACCTGATGATCACAGGCAGTATCAAGAGCTCCTGCAGAGGCTGATGACTGAGTTCCAGATCCAAGTTAAGGAGGTCCAGGATACTCAGCATAGGCTAGTGGATATTCTGCAGCCTTCTGGTGCTAGCAGAGTGACCCTTCCAGTGAGCAGGTCATTCTGCAGCCAGCCAGGATAGTTCAGCATACTCCTGCTTCCTGCATCCCTGCCCCCAGAAAAGTCTGAGTTATTTTGTACCAACCAAGGGAATGGAGTTCCTGTTTATTCACTCAAATCCCAGCTGGTGCAAGCTGTCTCTGAGAGGTCTAGCTACAACATGCCAAGGTAACACCCATGGATGACAGTGCTAAAAGCCTTGACCTCTTAGGGAGAAAAGTGTTTTCTTCCACCAGCTTTCAGTTTTGAAGTGCTAACTACCAGGCCCTGTTAACAAAGTACAGTTTCACCAACTACACCAAATTCTTAGATTTTAAGGACAAAGTCCCTCAAGAGGACTGGGCCCAATTCCAAGCCCTCATTGACGAGTGCAGACTGGTAGCTAAAACATCTCTTCAAGCTGTAGTGGATGTTGCTGATACTGCCTAGAGAGGAAGAGCTATAGCAATTGTCAGAAGGTGCTGGTTATGGTCCTTGGGGTTCCCCAGGGAGGTACAAAATACCACTGAGGCCACACCTTTTGACTAGGCTAAATTATTCAGTGGAAAAACTTCTGCGTCCCTTCACTCACTCAAAGATGCCAGAACAACCCCCTGTTCCCTGGTTATTTTTACCCTGGCTCCATAGAGGAAATACCACAAACAGGTGTAGCAGCCAAGACCGTCCCCTCAATCATATCACAAGTGCTGTTATGAACTGCTGTGCAAATTGCAGAGGGTAAAAATACCCAGGTATGTGGCCGCCTCCACCTCTACTGTCACTGCTCAACTCCACCCACCACCTGGGGGTTACTATTGATGAGGATGTTTGAGAACCATGTTCCTATATTGATGCCATCTTACACTCCCCCCCCACACATTTTGGTGGTCACCTTTACCCACTTCATTCACAACTGGAGGCAGTAACAATGGACAAGAGTGTGCTAGAGATCATTCAGAAGGATGAAGGAGGATGGAGACCAATTGTCAATCTGTGCCCACTGAATCTCTTTATTCAAAAATTGGCATCAATAATACACTTTCTGCAGGAGGGTGGCTATACTGTCTCTCTATAGCTGGAGGACTGGCTCCTGATAGGCAGAATCAGCAAGGAGATCCAGTCCGTGACCCTGTTCCTGCTCTGTCTGCTAACTTCCTTGTGAATCATGGTCAACAAAGAAAAATCCACGTTGACTCCCCAGAGACCATATAGGAGTGACCCTAATTTCAGAGTTTCATATGAATTCACTTACCAATATTTTTCCCAAAACCTCACATTTTCCAATGGGGGGAGGAGACTTCCCTCTCTTGATGTCCAGCAGGCTCTGGCACTTTATCTGCACAGAATGAAACCAATTAGAAAAATGCCTAGAGTATTTGTCACCTTAGTAGAGCAATCAAAAGGACAAACATCAGCTGCCCAGACTCTACCTGGATTTCTGGTTGCGTCATTCTTTATCTGTTGGTTTGTATGATTCCCCCAGATGGGGTAAGAGCCTACTCCAGTAGATCACAAGCAACTTCAACAGCATGTCTTCAAGAGAGACTTATACTGGACATATATAATGTGGCTACTGGAGCTCCATCCATGCACTTATGACATATTACGCATTAGTCCAGACCTTTTTCTGCAGATGGAGCTGTGGGGATAGCAATATTACAGATATCTATACCAACTGCATCCTCGAACCCCTCTCCTGTTTGACTACTGCTTACCAATCACCCAGATCTTATTTGATTAATGGGGAGGCGTCAGTCTGCACTGCCCCTTATACCTTTGGTTTGAGGACAACTGCGCAGGTGTGGACCAATGGATGTTGCTTGCTAGAAATCTCCAATCTCAGGAGCATAGTGCGCATGCATACCCATGTGGAATACGGATAGGAACCACTCAGCTCAAAGAGCCTCCAGTTACAGGTGAGTAACCCCCATTTACCTCTAATATTTACCTCACCTCTGTATTTGAATACACATAAATATATACACATATACATC